AAATAATGGAATTTCTCTATCTCGGATAAATTTTGATTGTTGTGGATTAATTGTTCAAACATATCATGGTGAGAATACCAATCCTCGTAGGAACCTGAAAACACTAGAAGCTCGATTTTAGGTAACTTAACATGCGCTTCCCTGCGGGCAGACGAACTAGCGCCTTGCGAATCAAAAGATACCGAAGAAAGCCTAATGTTACGTTGATCAAAATGTTCAAGTAAGGATTCACAGCGTGAGATCAAGCTAAAGTATGTCGATTCGAAGCTTGCTCGGTGTATGATGTTAATTGTTGCCGATCAAATTGTCGGTTCTGGGATATCATGCAATATGAGTATCCGCTAGTTATTTTATTCCAATGATGACACACATCACAAGTTTGAAATTTGATATATTTGCTCACAAATAAGGCATACAAAATTATGTATTAATGTACGCAACTTAGGATGATGTTCATCCTTCAGAGAACGAGAAAATTCTGGCGCCAACAAAAACCGACGCTACCCAATACACCTCAGCGCCAATACAACAGCGCCATACAACAAGCGCCACACTAGATCTTGCTTGGGAAGCTGAACGCAGGGGCGTGCGCTAAAGAGGTGGCAATCGCAAATTCAAAAAACTTAGAATCCCTAACACTGCCTCCCTTGAAACCTCTTAGTTTCAATCGAAAATTAACAGACATATTAAATGACGCTAATAAACAAATGGTTGATTATGGTATTACAAATGATATAGAAATACTTGTGATTAAACTTATAATTAAATTGAAATTAAGAACAGTTCGTCGATTAATAAAAACATATAGTATGGATAATAACATAAATATAATTAGCTGAACATTATATGATACTTAAACGTCTATCGGTAATATCGCTAGTCGCGTCAATGGGCGAGTAATTATGCTATTACTAGTTTTAATTTCAGCTGATCGAATCTTATTGTCAGAACTTCTGTATATACTCAACACACGTCCCATTAACCATTGCAAGGGTGCCAGCCCTGGTTGTTGAATTACAACCAGTTGTCCAACTTTAAGAGGTTGGCCTTTATTACTCATCCATTTACTTCGACCTTGTAAATTGTTGAGATATTCAACATGCCACCGTTGCCAAAAATGTTGGCGTAATCTTTCTACCAATTGCCATCGGCTTAAACGATTTATCTGAATGTCTTCTAGACTCGGATGACTATAGCTATTTGTGGTTAACTACGGTAGGGGATCGCAGGATCGCTATGGGGATCGGAGGATCGCTTAGGTCCACAAATAAATATCGAACCGATTATAAAATAAAAGGCTCTTTATTCAATTCTTACATCAGTTAGTAATATTTAGGGCGTGATGCGCTAGATTCACTTAGTGTCCGTGCAAAGACTTCAGGGTGCCTTTCGGCGCCCGTTTATGGAGGATTTTTGTGGGGTGCCTTTCGGCACCCGCAGGAGGGATCTACTCTTCAGATGAGTCGGACCCAAAGAGTTCCCTCAGTTGTAGGCGCTTGGCCTTGCTGGCCTTGCGCAGGCGCCCCGGTGTTCGGGGGCGCTTCCTCGGCGTCCTGGGCAGCGGGCTGATAGGCTCAGGCGGCGGAGATGGCCTCGGCGGAGATCTCAATGGCCGGCCGGCCTGGCTTGCCACCGATGCCGATGTCACTGGCTGCGGCAGAGGTTGCTCGTCGGTCTGCGTGGCCGTCGACCTGGTGGACACTCGTTGCCTCCGAGGATCCCGGGGAGCCTTCTCCGGGCTGCCCTCCAGCAGCGTCAGCTGCCAAGGGAGAAAGGAGATCCCTGCGTCCAGTGGTCTCTCCGTAACAGGGGGGTCCGTCGGCCGTGCTGGTCGTTGCTGCGGCTAGTATGCGACACCCTTCCTCGCGGTCAGGATGCCCGGAGGACCTGGAGGGCCCCGTTTCCGTCGTCGCGGCAGTCTGGCGGCTACTATGTCCCTGCGGACGATGAAGGCGATGGAGGGCTCCCGAGAGAGCTTACCCTCGTAGTGCAGTGGTTTGCACTGCAAGACCGAGGCCTGAAAAATGTGCTCGCTCTAGAGGCCTGTAAGAAGGCGCACTCTGAACGTCAGAGGCCTTGTGTTTACCACAGGCACACTCTGGAGGTACGTTGGATCAACTCCACACTAGTTAGAGGCCCCGAGAGCTCCTCTTCACTGCGTAGGAAGATCTGCTGGGTGGTCTCGTTGCTTCGTATATATCCCCGTGCGGGATACTCTTACACACGGGCGAACGCTCGACTGCGTGGCCCTCACGCGGCGGCGGTCGTAACTCCCGCCGGGCGGTATAGGCGCCAGGCGCTCGGCTAGCGCCGGCGCTCGCGCCTCAGGGGCGGCGCGCTCGCGTCTCGCCTACTGATATTGTGGCGGAAGGGCCGCCACACTATTTAATGGTTTAACAATAAAAAAATGTCCAGGTGTTAACGCTTGAACATCATTTGGATTGTTTGACATTGGACTTACAGGACGTGAATTTAAAATAGCCTCAATCTCAGTGATTGCTGTTGACATTTCGTCATAATTAAGAGAAGCATTGCCTATAATTCTTTTCATATGATACTTGGCAGACTTGATAGCTGCCTCCCAAAGACCTCCAAAGTGCGGAGCATTAGGAGGTATGTTTTGCCACTGAATTTGTGCTTCTACAAAGAAGTCATTTAATTTTCGCTGTACTTGTTCCTTCGCAAACATCTCATGCAAGTCGTTAAGTTCTCTAGCTGCTCCCACAAAATTCGTCCCATTGTCCGAATACAGGCATGCGACCCTGCCTCTTCGCGCCATGAATCGTTTAAATGAAGCTAGGAAAGCCTCTGATGATAAGTCAGCCACCAATTCTATGTGCACTGCCTTGGTGGAAAAGCATATGAAAATGCATATATATACCTTAAGTAGCCTTGCATTACGACGCTTATGTTCCCTCACAACAAATGGACCGCCGAAGTCTAAGCCAGTATGTGTGAAAGGATGTGACGGAGTTACTCGAGTATTCGGAAGATCACTCATGATAACCTGTGAGGTACTAGGTTTACATTTGAAGCATGTTATACAATTTTTTATAACGTTGCGAGTAGTTACTTTGGCTGAAATTGGCCAAAATTTGCTGCGGACTGCATATAATGTTAATTGAACTCCTGCATGCAGATTCTTAATATGCTCATCACGTATGATGAGTTTCGTAATCGTATGGTCTTTGGGTAACAAAATTGGATGTTTAGCTTCGTAAGATATGTCAGAATGTTTTAAGCGACCACCTACTCGCAGTAATCCATTCTGATCCAGAAACGGATTAAGAGATAATATCTTACTTGTTTTAGGTATCACTCCTACACGCTTTAATTCATGTATTTCTGAACCGAAATATTGATGCTGCACGTAACTAAGCAACACCTGTAATGCACGCTCGCGATCTTGTAATGTAGTAATACCAATACGTTTCTCTAACGGATTTTTACAGTTGTGAATGAATTGCAATGTATATGCTAAAACTCTAATTAATTTGTCAAAACTAGAATATCTAACAATCAGATTCTCAACGACATCTGATGTTTGTCTTACAACATATATGTTGACTCTTACTTGATCTGGTAAAGTTTCTGGGTATCGTGGATGGTTATCAGGCCAATCCTTTTCATCCCAAACTAACCATTCTGGGCCATTCCACCACATCCTTGATTTCATTAATTCCGAAGGGCTTGCCCCGCGAGAAATGATGTCTGCGGGGTTATGTTTTGTGGAAATATGATGCCAATCACTGATTTTAGTTAATCTTTGAATTTCTCCAATACGATTAGATACAAATGTTGCAAATTTGCGTGAACTCGATCTGATCCATGATAATGCAATGGTAGAATCAGTCCAAAGATATATCTGATGTGGTTGAAATTTAATTGCCTTAAGCAAACTCTCTTGTAACTGAGCTAAAAGTAGCGCTGCACACAATTCTAAACGCGGTAATGAAATTGCCTTTGCTGGTGCAACTCGCGACTTAGATGCTAATAATTGTGTGCGACAATAGTTTTGTGAATCACGTATCCTTAAATAACAGCAAGCTCCGTAAGCATACTGACTGGCGTCAGCAAATCCATGAAATTGTACTTCTAGCGTTTCAATAGTCGGACCAACCAATCTTGGAATACGTAATTCAATTAATTTAGATATTTGTGTCTTGTAATCTAACCAACGCGAATGTATATTTGCCGGAACTGACTCATCCCAATCTAATTGCAATCTCCACAATTCTTGTATCATCAACTTAGCAACGAGGATAATTGGACCGATTAATCCTAAAGGATCAAATAAGCACGAAGTCTCTGCCAGCATAATCCTCTTTGTAATATTCGAATGCATGTATTCTATGTTAACTGTATAACAAAATGAATCCTCATGTGGATTCCATTGCATTCCAAGTATGCGAGTCGTAGAAGATTCGGCTAAATGAATATTTTCCTGACCACCTGTAACCAGGAGTCCCTCTAATAGATTCTCGTTATTAGCAAACCATTTATCCAATGCAAAACCACCCTTTGACATAATGGTTATGATTTGATCACGTTTCAACTTTGCTTCAGGCAACGATTGCGCACCAGTCAACAAGTCATCCACGTAAACATCATTAATGATCGCTTCTGCACCTACTGAAAATTCATTGTGATATATCTCAGCTAAATACTTTAGACATCTGGTCGCTAAATAAGGAGCTGATGCAGTGCCATATGTGACAGTTTTCAATTCATATGTACGAACCGATTCAGCATCATGATCCCGCCACAGTATAGACTGCAATGATAATTGTGACTGATTGACAAGGATCTGTCTGTACATTTTTACTACATCTGCAGTAAAAACATATTTGTATGTACGAAAACGTACAAGTAACGAAAATAAGTCTGATTGAACTACCGGGCCTACCATTAAAATGTCATTCAATGATGTACCAGTACTAGATTTGCACGATCCATCAAATACCACCCTGAGCTTGGTTGTAGTGCTGGTTTGCTTAACTACACAATGATGTGGTAGATAAAATCGCACTGTATTATCATTGAGATTTGACTCGTCTGCTAACTGCATGTGTCCTAGTTTTAAGTATTCTTGTAGGAACTTTGTATAGTCAACCTTTAATTGATCGTTATGTTTGAAACGTTTCTCTAAATTGTATAATCTGCGCAAAGCTATGTTTCGAGATTCACCGAGTTTTTGAAGATGTGGGGACTTAATCGGTAAAGTAACAATAAATCTACCTTTAGAATCTCTTGTAACCGTTTTTAAAAAATGTTCTTCACATTCACGTTCACTTGATGATAATGTAATTTGATTCGAAAAATTATGTTCAATATTCCAAAATTTTGTTAATGATTGTTCAAGCTCACTGTTGGAAGGATCGATAGAAACCAAACAACTGGTTATCGTGCCCCTATGGCTGTTAGTGCCCCTATGGCTGTTAATCTTTAAGCATTTATTGTTAATAGATCCTGCTAAAATCCATCCAAAATGTGTTTTTTGTAATGTGGGATTGTTCGAAGACGACTTAATTTGACCAACGCACAATAGCTGCCAAAAGACATCAACACCTAGCAACAGTTGAACTTCCGATGGTACATTGAATTGTGGATCCGCCAGTTTGATATTTTTGGGAATATTTATCGCGCGTTTGTTGATATGTATCATTGGAATCGATCCAGTAATTCTATCGGTAACTATGCAATCTATGGTTAACTGAAAATTATTTATGCGTGACTGAATTGTGATAGTAGCCATCTCGTTTGCACTACTGACTAACTGATTTATTCCAACAATGGAAACCTGATGTGGTTTAGTTGTTACATTTAACTTGGATAAGAATTCTCGTGTGATTAAATTAGCCTGTGAACCATTATCCAATAACACCCTACAGAGTACCTTATTTCCTGCAATATCAAATGTATTGACTATTGCAGTTGATAACATAGCATATCTGTCATCGCAATTGCTCATGTAATGAGTAACTATTGTTTGAGAATTAACTGCTTCAGAAACAACAGGCTGACTAGGAGACGATCCATTTGTTGCAACAGACTTTGAATTGCCCTGCTTGTCTATATGTAAAAGAGTGTTATGCCTTAGTTGGCATGTCTTACATGTACCAGATATACACTGTGCGGCTATATGATTCTTGGATTTAAGACAATTTATGCACAGTTTTCGTTTCTTTATTTCCTCTATTCTACGAGACACTGGTAATTTTAAAAAGGCTTGACAAAAATAGATAAGATGATTCTTATCACAAAAAGTGCATTTTAAACTTACAGCTGCTGCACAACTGATGGCTGACTTACGAGAACCTCCTTGATTCGCCTTACTATTTGTGGAGGTATTCTCCTTGCTGCTAATTGATTCAAGTGTATTACACTTTTTCAATATAAATTGTATAAATTGATCGACTGTTGGTAGTTGATCTGAATGTAATGTATCCTCCCAATCACGATATGTCTTGGAGTCAAGTTTATTACCTAGAATTTGAATAAGAATATCATCCCAATTGTCAACTGGACGCTTGAGTGACTTTAAGGCATTCACATGCTTTATTGTAATATTGATCAATGAATTGAGTTCTGAATGACTCTCCTTTTTAATGCACGGAATGTCAAGAATTGCTTGAATGTGAGACTGGACAATGACACGAATTCTGTCGTAACGCTCTGATAAAATGCGCCATGCGACTATAAAATTCTCTCCTGTTAAATCCAATGACTCAACTGAATCAGCTGCCTCGCCTGATAATGATGAACGCAAATATTGAAATTTTTCGACATCAGTCAAATTATTGTTTTCAGAAATCATAGTATCAGGATCGGCCAACTTTAAATTATTTGGTATAGTTATATTCTGCTTGGAAATGAATTTTTGAGGCAATTGTTGAGTAATTTTTGGCAAAACAACGCATTCTATCCTCTCGCTAAAATTGTTGAACCGCGATTTTATATGAACGACTGTCGCTCGATTGGCTCGAATGTTAGCATTAGTTACACCTGAAATAGATATCTCTATTTGCTTTTTATTGAGGCACAATTTGTCGGCAAGACTCTGCGTAATGAAATTCATTTGTGATCCGCTATCTAACAATACACGACACGAATGGATGTGATTATTACAGTCAAATACATGAATAATAGCTGTTGATAATATAATTCCTAGAGATTGATAAGTAGATAAACATTGTGTTGCACCTGGCTTCGCAGAAGTTTCTGTATCGGAAGTCACAGCTGCTTTCGCATTAGACGACTCGTTAGCGTCTGCTGACTTTGACAAATGTAAAAGTGTATTGTGTTGACCTTTACATTTGCGACAAGAACTTGAAGTGCAATTTTTAGCTTGGTGAGAATTAGATCTCAAACAGTTTAGACATAAATAAACCTTCTTTGCAAAGGCGATTCTGCTTTCTACTGGTAATTTGAGAAACGTTTCACAATAGTAAACCGGATGATTTTCCTTACATTTAGGACAAGATAAATTGGAAGTCGCGAGATTAGAAACCGAAGAATTTTTTGATTTTGCAGATTGATTGATTAAGGATTTGCTAGAAATTGCTTCAAGCGCGATGCAACGTTTTGAAAGAAAATCATTCAGTGATTTTAGCTCTTGCCATGCACAAAGACAAGCGTTGCGTTTGTATAATGCTCTGGCTGAGCCTCGTTTCCAATGACTTGGATAAAACTGATCTGGATGTGACTTTAAGCAATTTGTGTCGTCCAGATTACACTCGACATGCCCTTGATAATGTACGAATGTAATATGTGAGCGTTGAATAATACTTGCGATATCGTGTGTCTGGAATAGTCTCGAATCCAATATGGCGAGGATCCGGCTCGAAGGACCAAAATTTGTATGATGTTAATTGTTGCCGATCAAATTGTCGGTTCTGGGATATCATGCAATATGAGTATCCGCTAGTTATTTTATTCCAATGATGACACACATCACAAGTTTGAAATTTGATATATTTGCTCACAAATAAGGCATACAAAATTATGTATTAATGTACGCAACTTAGGATGATGTTCATCCTTCAGAGAACGAGAAAATTCTGGCGCCAACAAAAACCGACGCTACCCAATACACCTCAGCGCCAATACAACAGCGCCATACAACAAGCGCCACACTAGATCTTGCTTGGGAAGCTGAACGCAGGGGCGTGCGCTAAAAAGGTGGCAATCGCAAATTCAAAAAACTTAGAATCCCTAACACTCGGTGTTGCTCATGTTGAGCGTTTAATTGATCTAAATCTTGAGAAGATACTTCTTCATTCTCAAGAACCTCTATTCGCGATTGTACTACGTCGAAAAGATTCCATAATTCCAATAGACTTTTTTGCGTTCAATAATGTCATGGCGCGATCCATGATTCGCGTCAAAGCTTTCTATGGCAGACTTGTGTCGAGTTAGAGAGGCCTTTGCGGCTGTGCGTTTAGTTTTAGCCTCTGTCAATGATATCGAATCCATGCTTATGATTCTTACGTTATCGTTGGTGAATTGAGAATAATGCCCTTTATTGTGAAAGGAAGCGCATGCGTGTGCATATAAAGATATACGTATATGTGAGAACGTATATGTAACGAAGTTTCGAGAAATGAAAAACCAATATGGCGGTCAAATGTGAAGACGCATGCAATATGGTTATCTTACCTTGAGTAAACGAAACAATCTTACCCAAAAGCCTTTCCTTGTGCTTGCGGCTTGTGAGCACGCTCGAATAAAAATTTGAATGAATTTCAGGTTATACCCTTTGTATCGCTGGGACGGATTCCTTGTTATCCTGCATCCGGCTCGAAGGACCAAATGTCCGGGCATGTGCCTCTTTGCACTATGTGTAGCGCTATTTTTTCCTAGAGGGCCTTGTGGCCCACGTAATAAATGGTTATGTTTGCAAATGTATAATACTCGAAGAACCAAATGAATAGGCTTGTGCCTCTTTGCACTATGTGTAGTACTAAGTTTTCCTTGGATCGCCTCGTGGCTCACGTACTAATTGGTTATGCTTGGTGCAACTTGTACTGATGCTCGAAGGACCAGTGTTGACAAATAAACAACACGTAAATTGATTAATCTTGCTATATTTGGTTAGCTTACAACAAAATGCACTGTGTGCTGTGATCTTGACGAAACTTAAACGATTATGAATAAGCATAAAGAAAAATCATGCTGCTGCATGCTTGAACGAAAACGAACTAGGAAGAAGAAAACGGAAGTGGCGCACGAACGGATACGGAAACGAACGAACGCAAACGAACGCAGAAACGAACGCTGATAAGCGAACGCTGAGGAGAAGGGGAACGCAGGTAGCGCCCTTTTCAGAAGGAGGGAGCGTAGCAAAGCGAGCGAAAATACAAAAATGAAAACGTGTATAGCGCGTACAATACTTACTAGAGCAATAGTGCGGTTCGTCAATAATTCTCGCGTGATTCGAGATTTTACAAAAGTTAACGAGTTACCTCTCTCAGCGAAGATCTTAGTCACTATCAAAAATTCGTTGGGCGCCAGGCACGAGAGAGCGTGCCACTCTTCGCACAAATTATTGGATAAATTGCTCGGACAGAGAATTAAATATTACGCGGATTCTCGCGACGGACGAAATAACTAGTTCAGCCAACGGAATTGGCAGAGGGGAGTGGTTCGCGGTAAGCGGAAAAGATTGTCGGAGAAAGACAGAGAGGCTGAAATAAATGCACCAGAATTAATGATGACAATAAAGAGAAATCAATATATTTGATAGAGACAAAAGTGTTCGAAAGAAACTACGTTACAGCGTTGACCTTCCGCGCTCTGGTATGCGGCGCAATAACAAGAAACCGACTATTAACCGGTTGTCGACACAGAAAGTAAATTCGGCAATAATTCGCCGAGCAGAAAATATGCGATCAAATCTGGATCTTATTACGTTAACAATAAATCACTTCGTGAACAAGTAGTACATTCGATTTTACATTAGACGGCAACGGTTTTCTAATACGCAATAACGCCAGTCTCGACTTTAAAGAATTCTCAATAATTAACAATTACACAAGCGACTTGGCGGCAACGAGGGCGAGCAACTACACTATTATACATTCTCAAAGTAGAGCGTCTGAGCGGAGGGCACGTATTCACGGCAACGCTGACTCGAAACGCCTATAGGCGACCGATCCGGAATCGGCAACGAAAAATCGGAGTAAAGCCTAACGTGTGCTCCGCTCGAGACGCATGTCACGTACCGCGATCGGTGGTTTTACACAACTTATAAGATAACGCTCGCCTTACCACGTAACGATCCCTCGTCGATCTTCCCAAGGGATAGCCACCGCCTCTAACTCTTTCCGGCAACGTAGCAAAATCGGCAGGTAGAAATCGGCTGTAAGGCTCCGGAGATCCTGTGTCCTCTTTACACTTTGCTCACCGCACAAGTGATAACCGGGAGCACTTGCGGATCCATGCAGGCCGTTCAACCCCTCTCTTATCGGGCCGCTTCTTGTCCCAATTGGTTTGTCGCAGCCATGTGACCTCGCAACTAATCGCAGCGAGTCCTGCGGGTCGCGTATCCTTTAATATTTGGCGCGCTTTTCCAAATTAGGCAGCCGAGCCTTCCGTCTGGAGCAACGGTCGTCTATCGCTCTCTTCATAGGTGAAGGTGGCTGTCAAGGTTCGGGCCGTGCTGAGGTGATCCCGTAATATGTCTCTCTCCGAGGCGTCTGCAATTAAGGTGCGGCAATCACCAAATTCCAACAAAATTAATGAAGTTTACAAAGTGATACGACCTGCGTGTACCGCACTCCTCGAGGACACAATCGGGATCTCCTTCGATGGCTTCTTGCTTTCTCAGCGGCGTCTTCTTTCTTCCTTCCGTGAGTGAGGCGGCAACATTACACAGATTCAAAACAACCACCGCTCACGCTCTAATGTGACTAATAATCGCTCTTTAAAAATCTGAAATTACTAAATATTTTATATAAAAGGATATACAAAAGAAAAGAAAAATAATATAAATTTGCACGCTCGCTTGTGCTCTCGCCCTTCGAGCTTAGAGGACACAGGATCTCCGTGCTAGTGCAGTCACCAGTGACTGACACAAAGTGTCACGTCACAATATATATATCTATATATACATATAACGTTTCAAAATTATACATTTTTAATATTTACTATTTGTATTTTGACCAACTGTATGTATACTAACAATAACTGATATTAATTCACTGATATTAATTCATGTGACTAAAACAAATCATAAATGTGAAATTTGAATTATCTTTTCTTATTATATTTCATAAACTTTATCAATATTGTTGTATTTATTTTTCTTTAATTACATAATTTTATTATATTATTTCATTATATTAGTTGTTTAATACTTATTGAGCTTTATCATAAATACATAATTTTAGTTCAATATTTACTTATTTATTATTTTTACCAATTAATTTGATCTTATTTATGCATATTTCCGTATATAGTGTGATCGTCACAACATTCTTACGACGTTTAGAACATTTTGATGCCTACATGATATTCCTTACGAGGAATATGTATAGATTAGTATTCAAATTGTCCGCGCTGCATCATGGCCGACCATTTCTCTTCGGATCAAAGGTGCCGACACAGAGTCGACCTACTGTATGTACCTATACTGTGGTTTGGCCAAAGCGGACCAAAGATGGCGGATAGAAGGAGATAACAGATATTGCTTTCTTTCTCGTATTACGCTATCTGTCTCTTTCTATTCATCGAACTCGTTTTCCGACAATGTACAAAGCTGATCCGAAGAATACTGAATGGACCAAGGTAGAGAACCAATCAGAAGTTGTCCCCGCTTTGGCCAAACTTTTATTATAGGATCTCTATTCTGCACTAGGCACATGATCTTTAATCTATCTGAACTTATCAAGTACTTATACAATGCACACTCATGCACGCGTGCACAAATACACACACACACACACAGACTCATATATATGTATACATATGTATATATCATATTTATAAATATTATTTATGAATTTTCCGTTCTTTGTTTCATACTGTTTCAAATGGCGCACTTCGGTAAGCCACACCAATATAGCGCTCATTGTTCCCCCCTTACGTCTGGTTATCCTGGCCAGGGGGGGGGTATATCCTCTCTCCTGTTATTTCTTACCTCCATGCATGCATTATAAATTTTCAGTACCGAAAAGAGAACCGAAAAAAATCGTAAACCGAAAATAATTTTATTGGTTCGGTTACAGTTTCGGTACCGTAAATTTTGTAGAATTTTGTTTCGGTTTCAGTTTCGGTTCATCGGAAAAAAGGGTTTCGGAACGGTTTTCGGTTCCGGTTCCGGTTCGGTCCGGATCTCTGCTATTTACCGAGACACTACCGTGTCTCCAGATCTGTTATTTATTTATTTGGTAGATACCTTAGTTTGTATTCTCTATTCCTTATATAATTATAAAAGAATTGATTCTTTGTACTTTGTTTATAGGGACAGTCTGAAAAGAAAAAAGGTATGGATTTAAAAGATTATTGCCTTTTCCTTTCAGGACTTTCCCTTTAATAAACCTGAAGATAAAATACAGCACTAAGAATCAATTCTCTTATAATAATAAAGATAAAACTTATTTGATACAGTTACTCAAAACATAAAATTACTTGGTTTTAGTATTGAAATCTTTAAAACTTTAAATAATTATCTAATAATGAAATATATTATCATGGAAAGTAACTGATATATTATTGAAGGTGCCAGTTCAAAGTGAACATTCATAAAATGTATATCCTTTTCTTGCATATGTACGTAATAATGATTTAATAACACATGTATACTAAAATTACGATTTTTATTGGACCGTCGAAATTCTAAGACAATAAGGAAATATTATCGGCCAAATGACGGTCAAGCAGGATTTTGGTTGCTAAATTAATGTGTGAATTTTTTATTTACTACGTATGTAGTTCCTCCAATCGCGTGCCGAAAATTCTTCAGACTTACAACGCAACTCTAAACAACTACCGTAATAATATCACAAAGTTAAATTGACAAACAATCTAACAATTTATGATGCTTATAGCATCTTATTGGATCTTTAATAAATATTAAAATTTTAAAGTGCTAATGATTCGAAATCTGCGAAAAAGTAAGATTGCAAAGAATATCACAAGTTTGGCGTTTCGTCCCGGCTTCACACTACTAGACTCATCAGTAAGGTAATGTAGTGGGAGCCTTATTGTCTTAGAATTTCGACGGTCCAATAAAA